CTATGGACCAAATGGAACACAAAGATATTAAATATTTATACAAAATTTCATCCAACAACCACAGAATACACATTCTTCTTCTCACCACATGGGTTGTGCTCAAGGATATGCCATATGATAGGTCACAAAACAAATCTTAAAACATTCAATAAAATTGAAGTAATATCAAGCATCTTTTCTGACCACAGTGGACTAAATCAACAAAAAGAGAAATTTTGGGAAGTATACAAACATATATAAATTAAACAATATGCTACTGAATGATCAATTGGTCAATAAAAATATTAAGAAGAAAATTGAAAATTTTCTGAAATAAATGAAAATAGAAACACAACATACCAAAACCTATGTAATATAGCAAAATCAGTGTAAAGAGGAAAGTTTATAGCTATATGTTTCTACGTAAAAAAGCAAAAAAACTTTAAATAAACAACTTAGTGATGCTTCTTAAAGAACTGGAAAAGCAAGAGGAAACCAAGCCTAAAATTAGTAGAAGAAAATAAATAGTAAAGAGCATAGCAGAAATAAATTAGTTTGACATGATAAAAACAGTACAAATGATCAACAAAATAAAAAGTTGGCTTTTAAAAAAAGATAAAGAAAACTGACAAACCTTTTATCTAGATTAATTAAGCAGAATGGAGAGAAGATCCAAAGAAATAAAATCAGACAGTGAAATGGAGACATAACAACTGATACTGTAGAAATTAAAAGGATCAATAGGCCACTATGAGCAACTATATGCCAATCAATTGGAAAACCTACAAGAAATAGATAAACTCCTACATACATAGAACCTAGCAAAATTGAACCATTAAGAAATCTGAAACCTGAACAGACCAATAAGAAGTGACAAGATGAAAGTCATAATAAAATTTTCACCCCATAAAAATTCCTGTGATTGCTAGATTCACTGCTGAATTCTACCAAACATTTAAAGGAGAACTAATACCAATCCTACTCAATCTGCTCAGAAAAATAGAGGAAGAGAAAATCACAATTTTGGTTCTTCCAAAATAATGTTAAGAAGAACAGGCAAATCACAGAAGGATAGAAAATATTTGCAACATTTGTCTGATAAAGGGCTTGTTTCTAAGTAAAGGATTTGTTAATTCTTAAAAGAAAATGGAAAAAAGTTAGATATTTTAGAGATTAATATATACAAAAGGCAAATAATCATGTGAGAAGAGATCATTTCTCATTCAAGAAGTGAAAATTAATTCCACATTGAGATACCACATCACACTCACTAGGAGTTATGAAATTAAAGACTGAAAACAGAAGACGTAGGCAATGATGGGAAGCAACTAGAACTCATACATTGTTGGTGACATGTAAAATGGTATGGGAAATTTGCAAAATGGTCTCATTGTTTCTTAATCCTTCTATATGACCTAGCTTTCTCATTCCCAGGTATTTCTCCAGGCTATGTGAAAATGTATGGTCACACAAAAACTTTTACTCAAATGTACATAGTAGTTTTATTCTCATAAACCCCAAATCAGATAGATAAAACCCAAGTAATCATTTACTTGTCAACGATAAATTGATGGGTGGTTTATCCATACAATGGACTACTTCTGAGCAGTAAAAAGGAATGAACTACTGATAAAAAAATATCAAATGTCACATAAGCTTTAGGCAAAGTAGAAGCAGCCAGACATAAAGCTGACATACCTACTTATATAAAATTCTAGAAAAGTCAATCTAGAGACAGAAAGTAGATCTGTGGTTGTCAGGAACTGACCATTTTAATGAAAAGAGGCATAAGGAGACTTCGTATTAGTAAAAATGTTCTATATCTATGTTGTACTATAGGGAATACAATGCAAGGCAAATATGTAATTTTTTAAATTCTAGTAGCCAGATTAGAAAGATTATAAGAAAGAGGTACAATTAAATTTAATTACAGTGTATATTTTATTTAACTCAATATCATTCACCACATTGCATTAGCTGTATTTCAAATGTTCAAACACTGTATACACTTGGTTGCTGCTGTGTTAAACGGCGCAGTTCTAGATTGTGACTTTGGTTTTTGACACCATACTCGGATTTTGATATATTTGCCAAAACTCATAGTATTTTGCACTTATATTCATACTTTTAATGTATGTAAAATATATATTAAGAAACTAATTTTTGGGAGGCCAAGGCAGGTGGATCATGAGGTCAAAAGATCGAGACCATCCTGGTCAACATGGTGAAACCCCGTCTCTACTAAAAATACAAAAAATTAGCTGGGCATGGTGGTGCGTGCCTGTAATCCCAGCTACTCAGGAGGCTGAGGCAGGAGAATTGCCTGAACCCAGGAGGCGGAGGATGCGGTGAGCCGAGATTACACCATTGCACTCCAGCCTGGGTAACAAGAGTGAAACTCTGCCTCAAAAAAAAAAAAAGAAACTGATTTAAAATAAACAGCACAAACAAATAATGATGAGAATCACTCCTTTGTATGCCTTCAGGATATATAGAATATATTCATATATATGCATATGTATACTAAAAAAAAAGTCTGTCAATCTGTCTTGCCCTTGTCAAAATTAAAAAAGCAATCATCTGTTTCAGAAACAATATGTTCTATACGTAGAAGTCAGAGAGCAGAGTAAAAAGACAGTATAAACATAATTCTTTTTATACAAATGGGAACACCTTCTATATGTTGTATTTTATTTTATTTTCTGGATTTTCTCTCCATAAAACACATAGTGTCTAAAACACTTGATTGACCTGAGTGTATAGAAATGCAAGACATTAACAGCATCAGAACATACTCCAGAGAGAAGACAGTCCAAGGGTGGTCGTGTTCCTTTAAGGTATACATATTCCATTAATCAATATCAATGGCAGCAAAGAAACAACTCCAAGGAAAAGAAGTAAATCCCTTTATTATGGATTCATTTTTCAACACAATCTTTTCAGCTGGCTGTTAATTTGAAATTCGAGGCAGAAATAAAAAATAGCATCTTGTCATGTAGCTTCAGATAAATAGATGTGAGCCTGGGCTTCATTGCCCTAGGACCTTACTCTCCTTAATTTCAATGACCTTCTGGGATAATTACAGTCACCATTTACAGAGTTTATTGATTAAGTAATTAATAAATGATGATAAACCCAAGCATTCCTAAGTGTGTGTACTGCAGCAGCAACAGCAGAGCAGGTGTTGAATACTAACCTTCCACCTACATAATAGCGGAATCAGGATAAAATCTAGGAAGCACAAGCATTCTAGCAGTCTCTGCTATAGTTAAAGACATTAAAGAATTCCAGACATTTATTTCCATCTGCTCTTAGTTTGCAATACTCTAAAGCATTATCCGAAGGACATTTCAAACAGCTACTTATAACAAACACATGGGAAGATTCGAAATGTTCAGCTCCAATATATTTTCACTAGAAATTTCATATCTACTCCCCATTTTCTTTATTGTCCTAAGTACCCTGCTGTCATTGCTGGAAATCATGTTATTTTCCTAAGAGTCCACAAAGTAAAGCATTTCTAAATGAAAATTCTTGATTTAACCTCGAGAAGAAAATGCTAAGATTTTCTACACCAAGATCTATTTTTGCTTAAAAATCATTAAGAGTTCATTTCTGTGCTTAATTGTGTATATAGTAAAAATATACATATCCAAAAGAGACAGTATATATGTTTAACATTTCATATAATTATTATTGTTATAATAAAAATACGCAGACTGAACTTAGTTTTGTTAGATAACATGGGAAAAAGTAAAACATATATATTTCAAAAATTCTTTTGATATTAAGAAATATGTTTATTGATTGAAATATACATTTTAATGGCATGGGGCATTTTATTTACATTATTATTCTTTATGTGAGATACAAAAATAAGCTACAAAACTTAACAAGAAAATTTACATCAAAAACTGTGCCTGCAGCAGGCAGATTCCTCATAGATTACGGTGAATATACTGTAAGGAAGAAGGCAAACCTCAGGAAATTTACTCTAGAGATGGCCCACATCTTTATGGAGTGGGTGCTCTGTTATTTGTACTGCAGGGAATAAGAAGATGAATGAGAAGAAGATACTGCCTTCCAATGCCAGTATTATCTAATAGAGGTGATAAAAAAGTTACATGAACATATTGTGCATAACAAAAAGGGAACATCCTAGAGGGTATTTTCAATCAAATGCCAAAACAATAGCAACAAGATAAATGTAAACACATTGTTGCAACCACCCAACATGCAATACTTATAGTACACACACACATATATAAATGAAATACTACTTCCTGTCTTCCTTTCTCATTGTTATTTTTTTCTTAATGTCTAAAAATTAACCTTCTCACCATATACAAAAAGCTATTCTGTATTAGCCTAAAGGATGTTTTCTATTAATCAAACATGTATTTAGCAACTATTATGTGCTAAGCTCTGAGCTAGGCTTTGGGGATCCAGAAGTGAGTCTCTATGAGAAACTTTCAAGAATATGTAAGGAGCTGACAGTCTTGTGCTCTGTTGTTCAGTATAGTAGCCAGGTGTGGTTACCAAGCAACTGAAATATGGCTAAACTAAATTGAGATGTGCTTTAAGTATAAAAATACATACAAGGTTTTGAAGACCTAGCACAATTAAAAGAAATGTAAAATAGCCCATTACTAATTTTCTATATTGGAGAAAAGATTATATCGCCAACCAAAAATGAAATTCTAATCCCTCCCAGCAGATGGAGTGTGACAACCTAAGACCCAGAAGAGCCAGTGGAATAAGTTCCAATCTGAGTGCAAAAGAAGAGTATTACACTAACTCAAAAGCAGTTAAGTAGAGGGAGCAAATTCTCTCTTATCCCACCTTTTGTTCTATTATTTAGGCTTAAAATGAATTGGAGGATGCCCACTCACACTGTTAAACTTATCCAGAAACACCCTTATAAGAAATACTCAGAATATTGTTTAACCAAATATCTGGGCTCCTGGTTTCCCAGATGACTTATAAGATTAACCATTATAGGAGGTATAAGAACATGTTACCTGGCGGGGCACGGTAGTTCATGCCTGTAATCCTAGCACTTTGGGAGGCCGAGGCAAGCAGATCATGAGGTCAAGAGATCAAGACCATCCTGGTCAACATGGTGAAACCCCTTCTCTCTAAAAAGAGAGAGAGAGAGAGAACATGTTACCTATATCCAAGCTATTTCCCTCATAGCTAACACCTAACAAGCACCACATATTTAAAATATTTTTTTCATGCAAGCAGGCAGGATAGTAGAGATTACCCATATTTTTTGCCAAGCCATTTACGCATTAATATAAATGAGCTTTTCTTTTCCAATCATCTTATGGTATTGTTACCAGATCCTGCCACTTACCAAAAGTTAGGGCATTTCTGCATGATAGTTCCTTCTGTGATCACCAGAAAGATGTTACAGAAAAGGGGTCCTGATCCAGACCCCAAGAGAGGGTTATTGGATCTCACACAAGAAAGACTTCAGTGTGTGTCCATAGAGTAAAGTGAAAGTAAGTTTATTAAGAAAGTAAAGAAATGAAAGAATGGCTACCCCATAGACAGAGCATCCCCAAGGGCTGCTGTTTGCACATTTTTAGGGTTATTTCTTGATTAGATGCTAAACAATGGGTGGATTATTCATGCCTTCTTTTTTTAGACCATATAGGGTAACTTCCTGTCATTGCTATGGCATTTGTAAACTATCATGGTGCTTGTGGGAGTGTAGCATTGAGGATGACCAGAGGTTACTGTCATCGCTATCTTTATTTTAGTGAGATTTAACCATCTTCTTTACTGCAACCTGTTTTATCACCAAGGTCTTTATGATCTGTATCGTGTGCTGACCTTGTAACTTATCCTGCAACAGAATGTCTAACTGGGTGGGAATGCAGCCCAGTAGGTTTCAGCCTTTTTTTACCCAGCCCCTATTCAAGATGGAGTTGCTCTGGTTCAAAACCTCTGACATTATCATTGTTGTTAATACTCAAATGTAACTTTGCTGAGAAAATTGAAGTAGTCAACTTCCTCCTGTTTACACTAACAAGGAGTCATGACATCATAAAAACAAAACAGAACAGAACAAAAAAGGCAAACAAACCCAAACTTGTTTTAAATCAACATTGAAATAGATCTTTGAGTTTACATTTACATTTTTAAGATCTGCAAGCACCCCTTCTTCCTGATCTGAAGGAGAGGTTGTTTCTCAAGGTAATGGCAGGGAATAGAATCAGAATATTCATGTTTTCCAAATTATCAATTGATAGCTAACTTTAACCACTCATTAGGCCACAGATGTAGTCTCAGGAAACTTCAACACCATTATGATTGGAGAATCTTGCAAATGACCCTGACTCACCCTCTTTGTCCCATTCTGACATCAAATCATGGCTATTAAGAGGATGTTCAGGTACATCTCCTGTTGCTCTGAATTGAAAAAGGAAGGCAGAGAAATTTCAAATATTCTCCAAACTATAGAGTGTGGGAAGCACTTGGGGACCTGAAAACCTTGTCAGGGCTTATTCAGAGGGGATTAAACTGCACTGTTCCTCCAGCCTTTCATCATCATTTAAAGATGTCTAACTAGAGGGGATTTCCCACTTGAGGAAATTGTGCCCTGAAGGTATACTATCCCATCCACACAAAGATTCCAGAAAGAACACACTATAGGACCCAGCAAAGCAGGCTGAACTGGACCTTAAAGCCCAGTAATTCTCACCCCAAGAAGTAGCTACAGCCTATGGCAAACTACAAACTCTTTCAAATGTGTATATGTTTTAATTTTTAGAGATGGTCTCATTCTATTTCCCAGACTGGAGTGAGTAGCAAAATCTGCCTCCCAGGTTCAGGTGATTCTCATGCCTCAGCCTTTGGAGTAGCTGGGATGACAGCTGTGTACCAACACGCCCAGCTAATTTTGGTATTTTTAATAAAGATGGGGAGGTGCTGGTCTCAAACTCCTGGCCTCAACTGATCTGCCTGCCTGGGCCTCCCTAATTGCTGGGATTACGGGTGTGAGCCACCACACCCAGACTCTCAAGATTACTATTTGACCTTAGTCAGTATTCTTCCTCCTCTCCTACCCCATCAAACAGAAACAAAAGAGAAGGAAAGTGAGAGAGCACACCACAACCCCATCCCATAGTGAATTTCAGCCAAATAATAGCTTAAGGTAGAAGAGGAGTTAAGCATTGCATTAGTTTTGTCTTCAGACATTTTTACATTTAAACTATCCCTAGAGATTATAGAATCTACCCATGTCTAAACATTTAAATGTTTTTAAGTAGGTTGACTGTACATTTGTTATCTAAACTGAAACTTCTTTGAAAGTGAAAATGAGGGATGCTAAAAAATGAACAGGTGTTAATTTATAATAGGTGTAAACTTTTATAGTCTAAACTGTTCCAGACACACCAGAAGGTATGATCATTGTATCTCAGAGGAAAATAGCAAGACAACAACAACAACTTATGTTTGTCATCCTTTTAGATCACACTGTTTAACAAAAAAAAAATGAACTTTTCTTCTACAAACCTGACCTCAGTGATAATTTAAATAGTACCTGTACTAAAGTGGGAAAAATACACAGACCAGAGCTTGTGGCCACATCCAATTATCCCATTCCCTTAACTGAAGTGGAAATTTTGCCCAGGATTTTGTTAGCACATAGTCAGCTACTTCCCTACTTAAAACTGCCCCTGTTTTTCTGCTAATAACTGCCTCTTTCTGCTTCTGTACCTCAGCTTATTGCTTACTAGCTAAAAAGCGTTAAAAAAAACGGCTGCGTTGTCTAAAAGTTGTGAGTTACTTCTCTTGTCCCCTCACCTGTAAAAACTGTGTACTTTTCCTAGCGGGGGGTCCAGACTTTTGGGTGTAAACCCTTCCGGGCCCGCCGGCTTAATAAAGAGTGTTCCTCCATTTCCCTGAAGGCCTCTTGGGTTTCTTGCCAGGTAAAATTTTGGTTCCCTGAGCGGGAAACCCAAGCGCACTGGCCCCTTGAGCCACCGGTTTGAGGTCGGAAAGGACGGACAGCTCGCCTGTTCCCCGCCGGCAACAAGGAATGGGCCCTGTAAGCTTCTACAGGGCCTCCTTTCCTGGAGGGGAACTGCTGCTGCTCCGGCGTTGCTGCTCACCGGACTCTAGGGGAAAACGGACTGAACTGAGGGGAACTCCGGATAAGGTAAAGTCGCGGGACCCGACTCTAGGCAGGCCTGTGTGAGCACGGAAGGGGAGCCTGATCACCTCCCGGGGTCTCCATTTGGCGACAGCAGGTGGATTTCTCGGGTTAGGGTGGGAATGTGATGACCTCTGAGTGCGTGTGTGAGTGTGTGGGGAGTTCAAGAGCCTGCTCTTGAACCTCCCATCTGTAGCTTCACGGTGCAAGTTACGGAGCTCGACAGGGCCCGAGCCTGCGTTTCTGTGGCTAACCTTATAAGGCTTATGGCGGTATCTAGCTGAGCTCAAGTTGAGCTCAATCTGAGTCGAGGGATTATACCGACCTGACTGCTAAGAGACGCCTAAATTCCCGCAAGGGGCGCAGCCAGGTGGGCATCTGAGTGGTCCTTCACAGGACACCCCTCCTTTGTCTGTCTTGCGTCACCATTCAAAAGAGGACACACATCATGGGGAAAAGTCAGGCTAAGCCCACGGTCCTAGACTGTATGGTCAAAAACTTCAGGTAGGGCTTTTCTGGAGATTATGGGGTCAAAATTACCCCAGGAAAGCTAAAAACCCTCTGCAGATCAGAGTGGCTGGTGCTTAGCGTTGGCTGGCCACCAGAGGGCACCCTGAAAGTCTCCAAGGTACAGGCTGTTTGGAAGCTGTGACCGGGAACCCTGGCTACCTGGACCAGTTCCCATATATTGATTCCTCGTTGGAAATAGCTCAGACCCTCCTTGAGTTCGATTCTGTGCTGGTAGGAAGGGACAGTGCAAGGTCTTCATGGCCCAAGCAACTAAGGGGCCCAAGCAACCCATTCATTAGGATGACCGCGAGGAGGAGCTGCCATTGCCTTATGTCCTTCTAGCACCATCACCCCCCAGCCCACCAGCCTTGCCTGACACACCCCCCACGCAAAGCGGGGCGGGCGATCTGAGCACCCTCCCTTGTAGCTAGATCAGTGTGCATGCTGCAGAGAGGTGGGACACTGGAAGAACCAGTGCCCCAAGTGGACGGTCCCTGGTAGGGCACCCCCGAGGGAGGGCAGAATACCAGCCAGAACATAGCCAGGCCCACCTGATCGGCTTGGCCGTGATGGACTTGGCTGAAATGGACTCAGACTAGGGCAGAACAGGCTCTATGAAACTTGAACCCAAAAGCCCATGGTCAAGATGAAGATAGAGGGCCATCCAGTGACTTTAATGGTAGATACTAGAGTGGAGTACTTGGTGGTCACCACTCTGGTTGCCCTATTTAGCAACCGGAAGGCAACTGTTGTGGGAGCAACAGGTGAACAGGTAGAGCCCTGGCTGTTCTGCCAAGAGTGGACATGCCAGTTAGGGGGCCACCAGATATGCCATGAGTTCCTCTACCTGCCGGAATTCCCTTTTCCCCTTTTGGGAAGAGACTTGTTGAGCAAATTGGGGGCAAAAATCACCTTTGAACCAGGGAGGCAGCCAGTCTTACTTTAAGTGAGCGAAAGGGGGGCCTACTCCTGGCAGTCAAGCTTCTACGTGAGGAAGAAAGGAAACTGCACACTGCCGAGAGGTCAGAGGAATTCCTGGGCACCTTCCCTGCAGTCTGGGCAGAGATGAACCCCCCAGGAACAGCCAAGGCCCACATACCACTGATAATTGACCTCAAGCCTGGAGCCCTCCCTGTCAGGCAGAGACAATATCCAATACCCCAAGAGGCCCAGCTGGGAATCCGGGAACAAATTTCACAGCTTAGAAAGGGGGGAATCTTGGTCAAATGCCAGTCTCCCTGGAACACTCCCCTATTGCCAGTGAGAAAGCCCGGTGGGGGATATCGCCCAGTACAGAACTTGAGAGCAGTAAACGGTGCCACAATCACCCTGCCCCCGGTGGTTCCTAACCCATACACTCTCCTGGGCCACCTCTCCCCTAAGGCTGAGTGGTTCACATGCCTGGACTTAAAAGATGCCTTTTTCTGTCTACGATTGGCACCAAAGAACCAGCCACTTTTTGCCTTCGAATGGGAGGAGCCCCAAACACAAAGGAAGATGCAACTGACCTGGACTCGGTTGCCCCAAGGATTTAAAAACTCTCCCACATTGTTTGGTGAGGCACTTGTTGCAGACTTAGCTGCCTTCCCATGAGAGGACCTTAATTGCCCACTGGTGCAGTACGTGGATGACCTACCTCTTGCCAGCAGGGAGCGGAAGGACTGATGGGAAGAGACCAAGGTGCTGCTGCTGCAGCTCCTTACAGAGGCAGGATATAAAGTCTCATGGAAAAAGGCCCAAATCTGCAGACAACAGGTGAGGTACCTGGGGTTCATCATCACCAAAGGACATCGGGCTCTGAGACCGGAGAGGAAAAGGGTGATTTGCTCCATGCCCACTCCCAACACCAAGAGAAAGCTCTGGGAGTTTCTCGGGGCAGCAGATTTCTGTTGCATATGGAGTCCCAGTTTCTCTGACATAGCAAGGCCCCTCTATGGGGTCCTAACTGGGCTGGAAGATAAACCTCTTGAGTGGGGTAAGAGCCAAGACATGGCTTTCCAGGAAATCAAGGCACTGCTTCAAAATGCCCCAGCACTAGGACTTCCAGATGTCACCTGGGAATTCAGTCTATTTGTTCAGGAGAAAAACAAAACAGCTCTGGGGTCCTCACCCAGACCGTTGGGCCTTGGCAGAGGCCAGTAGCATATCTGTCTAAACAGTTGGATGCAGTGGTGTTGGGATGGCCCCCTTGTCTCTGAGCCTTAGCCGCCACAGTCATTTGGATGAAGGAAGCTGACAAGCTAACCTTGGGCCAGACTGTCCATATTAAAGTGCCCCACTCGGTGTCCACCCTCATGAGCAGCCAGGGGTACCGCTGGCTCTCAAATGCTCGTTTGACCCACTACCAAGGGTTGCTCTGTGAAAACCCCGGGTCACTATTGAGACTGTGCATGGCCTCAAGCCAGCCACATTTCTACCCTCAGAGGAGGGGGCCCTGGACCACAACTGTAAGGAAATGGTCAATGAGGTCTTTGCCAGTTGGCCAGACCTCAAGGACTGTCCCCTCCCTAAGGCAGATTTAAACCTGTTCACTGACGGAAGCAGCTATGTCCAGAATGGGGAGAGGTATGCGGGGTATGCAGTCACCACCGCCACTGAAGTGGTCGAGGCAGCCCTTTTGCCCAGAGGCTGGACAACACAATGGGTGAAATTCAGGCCCTGTGCCGCTTGGAAGGCAAAGCAGTCAATATTTACACTGACTCCAAGTACGCCTTTGCAACTGTCCACATACATGGGGCGATATGCTAAGAAAGAGGGCTGCTGATAGCAGGAGGAAAAGAAAAAAAATAAGGAAGAAATTCTCAGACTGCTAGAAGCAGTTTGGAAGCCCAAAGAGGTAGCTGTCATACATTACAAGGGCCACCAAAGAGGCACTGATCTTACCTCTACAGGAAACTGGCTGGCTGACCAAGAAGCTAAGGCAGCTGCACTGAAGAAAGGGCCTGTGCAGGCCCCTACCCACTTGTTCACAGTCACCCCTTGGCTCCGAGAGGATGTGGGAAAGCCAGAGTACTCTAAAGAAGAAAACCTGTAGGCACAGCAGGAGGGGGCAAAGCAGAGTGCTGGGGGATTGTGGCTACTCCCTGACCACAGACCAGTGGTGCCTAAGAACTTGGCCCATACCATCACTGCTCAGTGCCATGGTCTCCCCCACCTAGGTAAAACTACTCTGAAAACCTTACTCAACAGGTATTACTATAATGCAACTCTCCCCACACTCTGTGCTGCAGTAAGCAATCAGTGTCTTATCTGTGCTGAAAACAACCCCCCACAGCAGCTGAAACCTGCCCCAGGGGTGCAATGGATGGGTGGCTACCCCCTTGAGGACATAGAGGTGGACTTCACTGAAGTCAAGCCCAGTAAAGGGTACAAATACCTACTGGTCGTTGTATGTACATACTCAGGCTGGGCTGAGGCACTCCCAACCAAGACAGAAAGGGCCTGAGAAGTAGTGAGAGTCCTACTTTGTGACATTGTTTCCCAGTACGGTATTCCACTCACCATGCACAGTGACAGTGGGTCAGCATTTGTGGCAGAGATCATCCAGGCCCTCACCAGAGTGCTCAAGATTAAGTGGAAACTTCACACAGTCTACAGGACACAAAGTTCAGGGAAAGTGGAGCGCATGAATCGAACCCTGAAGATTACACTAGCAAAGCTCTGTCAGGAAACCCAGGCTTCCTGGGTAGATGTGCTTCCTCTAGACCTGTTGCGGTCACAGTGTACAATGAGGCCCGCCAGTTACTCACCCTTTGAAATCCTATTTGGGAGGCTCCCGCTCTGATTAACAAGGTGAGGGGAGACCTCAGACAGCTGGGGGAAACAAGCATGACATCCCAGCTCCAGGCATTGGGAAAGGTGCTATCCCGGGTCAGTTTGTAATAGAAAGAGCACCTATCTCCCTAGCCAGTCCAGGAAATCCCTTCCAACCTGGGACCAGGTCTGGGTGAAAGACTGGAAAAAGGAACCCCTCTAATCTGTCTGGACAGGGCCGCATACTGTAATCCTTGTCACCCTAACTGCTCCTAAAGTTGCAGGAGTGGTTCTGTAGGTACACTATTCCAGAGCCAAGAGGGCCCACCCGAACACATCACTGGACTGGTGGACTGCACATCAGACCCTCGGCACCCCACGAAAATCATGCTTCGGCGGGCTGAATCCTGAGAACTCATCAAGCCCTGCTCTAGTCACACAACCAGAAGCTGACTAGTCAATGCATGGCTGAAGCTTGAGAAGCCTCCACTGAATCAGCAAATATGGACTGAAATCTTAATACTTGGAACTATTCTGACATTTGTTGTTCTACTGCTGTTTTGTCATCATTGTCCTTTGAGGGACAGTCCTTGTCCATGTCTGGTGTAAAATGTCACTTCCTGTTTTGCTATTAATAATCTGCTTGGCTCTTGCCTAATTAACATACTTCAGTGCTTCATTGAAACCACGGTAATTAGAAAAACCAGTGCTCAGTTTCTGGCCCTCAGTGGGTACAAGCTGCTAAACACAGACACCAGGGTGTAAGGTTGATGATCCCTAATATTCAAAAGAGAGCATCAAAGGGGGGAATGAAGTGGAAATTTTGCCCGGGATTTTGTTAGCACATAGTTGGCTATTTCCCTATTTTAAAACGGCCCCTGTTTTTCTGCTAATAACTGCCTCTTTCTGCTTCTGTACCTCAGCTTATTGCTTACCAGCTAAAAAGACTTAAAAAAAACTGCTGCGTTGTCTAAAAGTTGTGAGTTACTTCCCTTGTCCCCTTACCTATAAAAACTGTGTACATTTCTTAGTGGGGGTCCAGACTTTTGGGTGTGAACTCTTCTGGGCCCGCTGGCATAATAAAGAGTGTTCCTCCATTTCCCTGAGTGCGGCTTGGGTTTCTTGTCAGGTAAATTTTTCTGCAACAAAATCTGTCCAATAAAAACAAATTCACACTAAGATAAGCAGAGATTTTATCAAAGCCTAGTGTAAGAGAAAGAATTCTCCAATATCAGGATCTCTCCAATATCAGGATCTATAGAGGTGAGCAGAGAGCATGATCCATGTGATCTGATAGAAAATATTTCTTGCTGTGGTCAGCCAATTCTCAACATGGACTGTTAGGGAGATATTCTGTATTTTAGCTGGGGAAAAGCTGAGATTAGGGGCCTGTGTGGAGAAGACAAAAATGATGAAAGTGTGGTCCAGCTAAGGTAGAAGATAAATAATGGACAATTGTAAACATGAGGTGAAACCATGCATGGGCACATCATGCCACATACTTGTAGTGTAGCCTTGTCTCCATCTCTAAATGTCTTTAGCCATTTCCCTTTACCTTAATCATGCACTGTTTCAGCCTTACATAAATTCAGAAGACTAAGATGAAAAACAACTATGTATCCTCCATCCAGCTTAATAAGTCTTAATAGGTTCCTCTATTTGCTTCACATATTTTCATTTTATTAAAAAAAAAAAAAAAACTTATGTACTTACAACCCTTTGAGAACAATTCCCAAAATACATTCTCCAGACTACTGAAAAATGTAACTGCTATTCTTAATTTGTTGTGTTTTAATCCTTGAATGCAAATGTATAATCAACAATAGTTCTTGAATGTTTAAAAATGTGTTATAAATATTCCCATACTCTCATAATTATCATTACACAACTTGCTTATTTTCACTGCACATTATTTCATAATTTTAAACATTTGATTCATGCAGCTCTAGTTCATTAATTTCACCTGCTGATTAGAGTTGTACTTCATGAACGTTTCATAATATTTATGAATTCTTTAGTTGAGAACCTTTTTGTGGATTCTTTATTATTTCAAATAACACTAAAACGAACATTCTTTCAGATGCATCCCTGGGTGCTTAAGCAAGAGGTTCCATGGTCTATATATCCAGATGGTGAGGTTTGTCCAGCTTTTGCTTTACCAGGTATGCTCACATTTGTTTTCTAAAGTGGTGTTGTTACATTATGGTGTCATTTTCTATCCTTTGCTCCACTGCTCTCCAGTATATGGCACATAGGACTGTGACAGTCTAATGTATGTAAAAAGAGATCTCATTCCAAAACAAAACAAAACAAAAAAACTTTGTTATTTTCTGTAGATTTTCTCTTTAGATATTTTGTCCTCAAATATCACCATACTCATCCTAGTCGTTTTTGCTATGAAATTATTTTGTTTGCATCTAATACTGAATACATTTACTGTATATATTAACTTATAAATAGATATAAGAGTTTTATAGTTGTTTTGAGGGAGGAGGCCCTTAATCACCCTTAGGCATCTAAGGCCATCCCCCACTTGACTTCCACAATGAATTTCAATAGGAGAAGTAAAGGCTAGCAGACCTGGGACCACCTTAACCACCCTCCTATAGATGGAAGGCATGGTATGGAGGAATCTTTCCAAAAGGCACTGTTTTCACTTAAACAAGATCAAACCTCCACCTAAGCCACTATACCCCAGGCCTACTCCATGGCCCAATACCCTTTCACATGTAAATTCTAGAGTTGTAAACCCAAGACCCTTTCACATGTAAATTCTAGAATTGTAAGCTCAAGACCCTTTCACATGTACATTCTAGAATTGTCAGCCAAAGACCCTTTCCCATGTAATTTCTAGAGTTGTAAGCATTTAAAAGGGCAGGAACTTTCTCTGTGAGCTCAAGCTTGGCTGTTAGGCAGCTAGGCTGCCTTGTCCCAGCTGGATAAATCACCACTTCCTTCCCAGTTCGGTGTTCAAGAGGTTTGTTTCTCGAGGCCACTCCTACTTCAGTTTAACTTTTATTTCCCAATTTAATTGTATTAAAGTCACAGATAATAATATCTTGCAATAATGGTTTTTTAGATTTATTTGAATTTACTCTTTGAGTATATTTCTAACCAGTTTATAAATTTTAGTGTATTCTGAACTTAACATATACTTTAACTAATTAGGTAAAAAATTATGTAAATCTATGTTAGAGTGTTATCATTTGTCTACCTACATCTATGTAAGAAAATTTAACTTTTCAGATTTACTATGCACACCATTAGCTTCTGATAGAAATATATTGAAGTTTCCCATGTTTGTGGATTTTGTTGGTTTCTACTTACTATTTCATTACGTTTATTTATATTTTTGAAGCTGTGGTTTTAGATGCAAAATATTGGTGATGCTTAAATTTACTTGGTGAATATTTTCTTGGGTGGCTATTTCTGTTAAAGCTTATTGACTTAAATTTTATTTTTATCTGCTAGTGATTCTACTATAGCAGTTTGATTTGATTAATAATTGCTTACTGTATTTTTTTGATTAACCTATTTTGAGACTTATTGTATGTGTTTGTCTTATAATTATTTTTTAAAGCAGCATATAGTTTTCCTATTATCCAAAATGTAAAACTCTCTATAAATGATTTATTTTTGCCTATTTTCTCTCATTGTAATTATTGATACATTTTGACTCATCTACAGTATCATAAGGTGTGTTTTCTCTTAACCAGGATATTAATTTTGACATTGTTGCTGCTTCTCCCTGCAATGCCCCTTATCATGGTGCCCTTCCCTGAAAAATTATACTTTTAATTTCACCAGTGTTATTCTTGCCGCATGATTTGATTTTCCCAATGATATCTGAGTGAAAGTAACACCGGTTATCCTTTAGCAGAAGCACTGCAGGCCAGTATGTGGTTTGCTATTATCTCTTCCTGGCCAGGCACAGCGGCTCACAGTGGTTATCCCAGCATGATAGGGAGGCTGAAGCAGGAGGATTGCTTAAGGCCACAAGTTTGAGACCAGCCTGGGTAATGAGCAACATAGCAAGACCCTGTGAATATTTTAAAAAATATATAAGGTATGTGTGTATGCGTGTGTATGTGTGTATGTGTGTATACATATAATTTTAAATATTTAAAAAATTTTTTAAATGGAAAGTTATATATATTATACATTATGTATAAAATTTATACAAATTAAAATTTATGTATATGGAATTTATAAATTAGAATTTATATATTTAGATATATCTATACATATTTATATGCATATATATGTGTGTATACATATATATATACTTTATATATATATAGTTATATATATATATATATATATATATGTACTTTATATATATATAAAGAAGTCTAGAGATTTTCAAGTATAAGCTTCTGTATCAGCCTGAGTCATAGAATGATGGTTACATGGAGTCAGGCCAAGCTCAACCTACAGTAGTCATGTAGTCAGAACAAAAACCACACCAGTGTAAATGACTGATATTTAGGGGTCATATTTTCATACAGCAGAACCCTCATCATCTGACTGGAAGGAAGATGCTTGTGTTTTACTTTTTTTTTTTTTTTTTCCTTTTTGCTCTGTCACTCAGGCTAGGGTACAATGGCATGATCTCAGCTCACTGCAACCTCCCCACCTCCTGGTTTCAAGTCATTATCCTGGCTCAGCCTCCCAAGTAACTGGGATTATAGGTGTGCACCACCACACCCAGCTAATTTTTGTAATTTTAGTAGAGATGGGGTTTCACTATGTTGGCCAGGCCGGCCTAAAACTCTTGACCTCAGGTGATCTGCCTGCCTCAGCCTCCCAAAGTTCTGGGATTACAGGCATAAGCCACTGTGCCCGGCCCTTGTACTTCACTTTGTTCCCATCCTTTCTATCCTTCACTTGGTCAGAGCTTGAATACATAAAGTTTTCTACTTTTTCTTTATTTTTCAATGTTGATTTAAAAACTTTAAATTCCCTTCACAACGTTTTTCTGAAAGATGTCTTTAAATTTTCAGCACGCAAGGAATTTTGCAAGCATTAGCTACCTCTTGGTCACTCCTCTCCAACCAGTGTGATATTCTTTACCTGAATTTTAAATTCACTTTTATTTTAAACCACACATAATGGTTAATAATTTATTAAAATTACCAAGTTAATTTTTATAGAATGCTTATTATTTTTACTTTTAATGCTCTTTCTCCACCCAGTTAATGATTACTTACCTAGTGATTTTGTGGTTGCTGGACACTTGCCCCAGTCTCCTGTTTAGAACCAGGTCTTATAATGACAAGTTGTGGGTACTCTTCTCATGCTCATGTTGGGAACATTAAAGTATCACTTCAGAGGCAGCAGGCAGCTTTGCTCAGGATGGGTTAGCTTGTTGTGGCTTTGTTCTCTGTCTCACTGTTAAAACGTGCATTCTGAATGAAGAAACCCCTGAAACAGGCTTTGTGTGAGCAACGTGGCTGTTTATTCACCTGGGTGCAGGCAGCCTGAGTCCGAAAAGGGAGTGGGTAGAGGGTGGTGTGATAGGAGTTTGTTTTATAGGTTTGGGGTAGGCAGTGGAAAGTTACAGAAGTTACAGTTTAGGGCAGTTTTTTGCAAGCTGGGAGGGGGGCCGTAGGGTCTGGAGTCACCAGGTCCACCAAGGTCGGTTACAAAGTCCAATTGCCTTATCTATGGAGGCGGGAATAAGGAACAACAGAAGAATGTGTCAAATTAATTAAGTACCACAGGTGTTGATTATTCTTCCCCTTTTCTTGGTTTTCCAGTCACTTCAGATTTTCTAATTCCAGGAGGCCATTCAGAGGTATACATGTGGGTCACAGGGGTCATCATGGCTCAACTTAGGGTATGGCCTATGGTGCAGCCAGTTCAAAGAACCTTGCACTCACTAGTATGTATTTATCATAAACCTTAATGCCAAGTTGGGTGTAGTAATATATTTTTCCCCTAGCAGGAACTTGTAAACACCAATCAATTGTGTATTTTGTAGCCATGTCAGTACACAGAAAATAATTTTTAAAAAAAAATTATAAAAGATACTACCAACCTAGCTCTCAATCAAACTTACATTTAAGGGTAGACATTTTTTCTCATTTTCACATGTTTCCGGAGAGCTTAGTGGATCCAATTTCAGCCTCCTTTGAACAATATTTATTTCTATTACTCCTCAAAACAATACTCCACTCCTTTCCTTTTTTTTTTTTTGCCCAAGGAAATGTAAAAATTTTTGAACCTGACTTTGGTCATTTGACTTTCTCTTTGTGAATGCTGCCTGTGATTCAAATGTGCTTAGAACAGAGTAGCTCTTCAGCGAAGACACTTACTATACCATAATGAATGACATTTTAATTCTCACAAAACTCCTCTTTAAAGGAATTTTCCTATGCCCTAATTGATTCAATGACTTCATTCTCCTTCTTTGTGAAACATGAGTTCATGCCACATAAGAATCTTGATATTTTTGCATTTTTTATAATTTGTACACATAGTTATCTTTGCTTAGCCAGATGTTAATAGGGCCTTTTCTAAGCCAAGGCTAATGTTGCTTGGGAAACAGTTGAATTCTGGTCCTATGAAATAAGGAGTGACAAGTCAAAACAGAGTTAATTTTTTTTACCACTCATAATCAAAGCTCTTTTCATCCTAAATTAACTAGGCAAACACTGCTACACAGTAAATATTCATTTCCTTCCAAAGAAAATGCAAACTTCTTACATGGCAAAAGTCTATTACTTGTAGTATATCTTATTTCTCTCTCAGTGCCTCTTGTATTTACTCTCTCTCTCGTTGAATGTGTGTGTGTGTATGTGTGTGCGTGCATAAAAATGATACTGGCATTATTGTAGCTGAGGGCTTATTTCTTCAGGGCTATGTATTATCTAGATACATAGATATGTCCACCTGACAAACATGATGGAATGTGAGGTAGTGATGGCAGCAGAAGGGGATACAGAAAGATTTTTATACAAAAGGATTATCCAGCAAGAACAAATGTGCACAAATACTTCCAAGAAAAAGGAATCTAGGAAAACCTTTAACTTTTACGTTTAAAAAATTGTATGTAAAAAGGTTTTTGGCCGGGCACGGTGGCTCACTCCTATAATCCCAGCACTTTGGGAGGCTGAGGCGGGTGGATTACCTGAGGTCAGCAGTTTGAGATCATCTGATT